TAAGGCAGTGAGAAGAATCACACGCAGAGATAAACAAGAATCTGCATGGGTTTCGGAACGAAGGAAGAAGATGCTAGTAAAACATGCGAACACGAGGTACATATACGTGACCAAAGCGTGGGAAGAGCTGTCAATGTCATTTTCGTAAGCCTATGGCTTACACGCAACGTCGTTTGGTCATAGGCGGCCCTCCGAACAGTCGCCGATCGACAGTGCAAGATGGCGCAGCGGTGCGCATTGGCAGCATTAGCCATGTTGTAGTGAATGGTCAAAAATAAGACTGAGCTACTGCTTCGTGAAACTGGCTAGGCGAGCTTCGCTGCAATTCAACCCTAACCTTAGAAGCCGCCGGAGCTCCCGACGGCCTTATGACATCAGGCATCATTTACAGAGACTCCAAAACGCCAGTCATATCAGATGTTGAGTTCGTGCCACCAAGACCCACTACTAGCGTAGCGGGAATGTTTTGTTCTTTGCATGAACTATAACCTGTCACGAACGGCAAAGTTGTCTGAGGCAATGGAGATGTGTCTATATTGCACATAATTCGGGTGTGAGCTGTGCGAGATGACGTGGTGCGAAGCACTGGTCACGGACTAACGAGCAACCGTAATCAATACACCGGTCCGGAGGCCGAACGCGCGTCCCTCGACGACAGGGTCAGGTAGTGTTTACGTCAAGCATCCATCATCAAGGCCTCGAAGTCGACTTGAAACTCGTCCTATCATCCAATCCGTGAGCGGTCTCATTCCTCCAGCTCTGCTCTGACGGCTGGATCTGATGAATGCATAAGGTCAGGCGACGGCAATGACATCCCTACAAAGTCTACAGGCGGACATTATGAGCGAGATATTCGAATGGCTTGCTGTCATCTCTCCGGCGCAGCAGGGTAATCACAGAGCAACGGCTGATATGGGGTGGATTCTGGCCACGCACGTCTGTCGACACTGGCGCCACGTGGCGCTCAATCTAGGGAAGCTGTGGGCGGGCGTGGTATGCAGTCTTCCCAACGTCTCCTCGATGGAGGAAATCCGGAAGCGTGCAAGGTCTTGCCCCCTACGCGTCTCTATTGTGGACAGCCCCACGGAGCTCATCCGGATTGAGTTTGCTCTGAGGAATGTTACACAGATTGAAAGCATTTTCTGCGAGATGATTTTCCCCTGGTGCGAGGAACTAGCGGACCAAGGCTCTCTGCCGTTACTTCGCGAATTGAGGATCGATCAGGAGCTAAACGGTCCACTCACGAATCTGCGCTATCTTCGCCTTGACGCTCCCGGCATGCAAAGGATGACCCTAATAGACGTGCTCCTCCCCCCCTGCCACTCTTCATTGTATTCGAATCTCCGGGACTTGTCCATCTCAGGGCCAAGCGCGTTGCCGTCACCTTCATGTGAGATATTGGGCGCCCTGTCGCACATGAAGGTTCTCGAGCACCTGCAGATGGAACTGTTCAAGACAGGGCCGAAACGACTAGCGCAATGGGAAGGATACAAAGGCGACCCGGTCCATCTCGTGAAGTTGCGCACCGTGAAGCTTTTCGGCTGGAAGGGGTCGGATGTACTGGGCCTCTTGTCAAAGTTGGGCGCCCCGGCTCATGCCCAGGTGGAGCTGATTGTGGCAGCCGATGAGGAGGATTCACGTATCCTGGCCACTCTTTACGACCGGATGGTCGACCCAGTGCACGACACATGCGTCGTTGACTCCAGCACCAAAGGCGACGCTGTCTCATTCGTTTCGTCAGACGTCACTCCATTTGGACATTGTAGCAAGGTTAGGGTAGAGGTGCGCGGGAGGGGCATTGGCGGCGTCCTGTTGCTCCTTGCGGCACAGTGTCCCCGGTTGAAGCACATCACTCGCTGGGTCGTGGAACCGAACAAGTCGATTATCCCGTTCTTCGCGCGCAATCTCCTCAAGATTTGCCCCTCCGTTTGCGAGTTGGTGATAAATGCAAGCGAGCCGGAAGATTTTGAATTTCTGTTCAAAAGACTACCCGGGCATGGTTCAAAATATACTCTCACCTTCCCCGGCCTACGTGTCTTGGCGGTCCGTCGTATCCCACCATCTGCATTGCGGCTCGAGGACGAGATAGGTTACGTGTATTGGTGGTCCCAATTTCAAGCGGCAATCCAGCGTTATGCTGCGCTTGGTGGGAGACTCAGACAGCTGCGACTGGTGGGCGAATGGAGCTGGGACATGCCGAACATACGGGTAATGGACGGTCGGGCGTTCAACTACTTGTGGAACTCCCGCCTGGTAGGTGATATCGTCGAGGAGCGACGTTGGAAGACTGTACCTTATTCTTAACCCTCACTTCGGTCCGTATTGTCGTTACCCGTTAGTGAACCCGGATTGAGCTAGGAGGAAGCATTGCCCGTCATAAACTTCAGGTCGAAAACCTACAGTGGTCTCATCAGTTTGTCTTGTATTCTGCCGCCAACGTACATGTCATACTTTTTCTTCATGTAGTAGTGTTGCCTCATTCCTGATTATAAAGACTCACTTCAGTATGTGTTTAACAGTCGGACGGGTTGTCTTGATAGCATTCCTGTCCCGCCAAGCCGGGAGAAGTCTGGGACTGAGAGGGCGGGCATTCGTTAGAGTAGAGAAGGCTGATGGCGTCATGCAAACAGTTCTGTGTCGAAGGACGGCAGACGCGCCACGAGGTAAATCAGAAAAGATTGTGTATGGTTGAGTTCTCCCGTACTTTGTGAGCTCGCAGGAGCACCTATGAACTGGAATCGGGCGTGAAAGGACGGGGATAAAGACCAGATATATAATGTTAGAGATACATTATATGAAAGACCGGAGAATTCCGCCTTCCATACTGACAACGCCGAGCGTTACAGTACAAAACACATTGAGAAAAGCAGAATGGAACGTACACGAGAAATAGAGTAAGGATATTAGGGACGAGTGGGCCGCCTCGCAATGCCTACTTCTCTTGCTGAAAACCATCTCATGTACGGCTTCGTGTAGGAGAGGCGCATGGAGGGCAGCGAGGGGTGAGGGACATCGCTCGACCGCCGGAAAGTGAGTCAGAGATAGAAGGAGGTACAGATCGGCAGTTGAGGCCTTATCCTACGAGTAGTAAAGATAAATGCTGCCCGTGCCACGATCATTCCGCATCAAGCGCTGTTACTTCAGGCATGAGCACGGGTGGCCGATCTGAGAGGCATGCATGGATGCACTTCGGTGCCAGGGTGAGCGTGGAGAGATGCGGATGAGCGGCGCCAAGGCCTAAAAGTTGCGGGGAATAGTGTGGTAGGCGTAGGTATGACGAGTCTGTACAATGAACTGCCATTGAGGTGGTGGTCACCGAGACGAGGAAGACGACAACACGCGCGCAGAAGACCAGAAGCATATGAGGCGCATGGCGGCGGCCTTCTCACGGTCCAAGCATTCCACAAACATGCTCATAAACAATTTGATTTGTTACGTACCAAACATTCTCCCGCCTACGAGAAAAGCCCAAGACAATTCACAATAGATGACAGGACTTTGGTTGTGACTGGCGTTTACCATTCTGATCGTACTGCACACTCTCTGCCTTTTACTGCCTGCAGCAAAACCTCCCTTCGCCATCACATAGTGAGGGGAGATGGGCATGGTAGGCTCTTTATCGACTCGATCAAATGCGGCGGCGACTGCCCCATGACACGTGCGGACTTCAAGCCGAAGTCTGGTTTCACTTGAATTGCACACGCGCAACGTCTCTCACACGACCTATCGATCCGCTTGAGCTGAGAAAAATACTTTAGAAATATAGAACCAGCTCTATAATAGAGTATTACGTGCGAGAATCTTCAGCGTTAACGGTCGTGGCGATCACACATGCCATCAACCCAGTCAAACCACCAACAACCACTGAACTGCGCGCGACGATCTCAGCTCCCTCCCTTTAAAACGAACCAGCTCGCATCGCTCTGTATTAGTTGCCTCTCCCATCTCACGCGCTCAGACGGCTCGATAGCTACGATGGCTACCAACCGGATCGCGGCTCGATATATCAAGTCAGAATATCCCAACTGTGACCGCCGAAAGGACAAGGCGGTACCCTTGAACCCACCAGTAATCAGCCGTGAGTCAGGTATCCCCCAACTCAAACACGAGTGCTGTGTGTCAATGATGAGCCGTGACAGAATCCGTTCTCCCTAGATCAGGACGCAACCCTGATATCAGACTCAGAGCGCCCTTGCCTGAGACGCAAAGCCAAAGACCAAATGCCCTTCGCAGCGACGTAAGCAGCAGGCTTCTGGAGGTACCCCAGCCAAGTCCATCCGCAGTTTCAAGTAAGGAGTACAAACCCTTCATGAGCGGTGGCTCGTACTGACCACAGTATCCATTACACAGGCGTGCAAACTATTCACACCGCTCAAAGCCGAGCGGACAGTGCTGAGAGCGCTGACCGCGAGAGCGCTGGGGGTTCATCAGATACAGAAGAGCTTGTTTTTGTGGAGCGCATCGGGTACAACAAAGCGTATAAGTCTATGAAAACAAATCAAGTGTATACAGCTCTGGGGCGGGCAACGACGAAGGGCAAGGCGCCAAAACAACAGGCGTCGTGCTCACAAACGGCCGTGCATGGGAACGTGGGAAGCGCGGAAGGAGTTGACGAGCGGAGCGGGGGAGCATAGGATAACATTGCACGAGAGCATCGGGACGTGTATCATTCACTCTAATTTGTCTATTTGCGTATGCGCAACTGACATCATGACGACAAATCAACCATATAATACCTTTTATGTGCCGATGCGGTGTGAACACAAACGGCACTGTCTGGCATCACCACCCGCGTCTCTGGAGACGTTTCTATTTGGCAAATGTCCTGTCATGAGTGCACGTTTCTTCTTTCTGTCTCTATGCCGTTTACCTTTAACCTCTGTGCTGAATGGTATGTTTTCTCCTTTTATAAAACCCCTTTCTGGCAGTTCTTGGCTTCAGCACTGAATCCATCGAACGCGCAAGGTCAAGACACTTCTTCTGGTTAACGTGCAGTCTGACTCCTGTGTCAAAGTTGCCACGAACGCGCCCGGCAAAGCACGAGCGCAGGGAGAAAATTAGGCGTCGGAGGAAGCTACATACGACTCTAGCTAGTGGAATCATGAGTGATATCGTGCTCGCGCGCCAGCGCAAGCACGCGAATGGACCGGGATGATGGGAAGAAGCGTCTGCGGGCGTGGGGAGAGGGTACGAGGCGGACTTCAGACTGTGAAGCCGCCTTGGGCTGCAAGTTTTTCATCGTTGTGCGTGGGAGGACGCACTCTTAGCCAGGTACAGGTTGCAATCAGAGAGGCAGAAAGCGGCTGCCTAGCGAGTGACTTTACAGTCTGAGCCTGCGGATGAGCCGCGAGGCGATTCAGCAGACCCCCAGCGCCGATATTTGATTCCAAGCCGGAAGCGGTCTTTTAAGTGCTTCAGAAAGCACATACAGCAGCTAGCTCTGCGGCTGCAGGTATTCCGAAGAGCTCAAACTGCTGAGAGGCCATTTGGCAGCGCGGGCCGACGCCGCGTGGCATATGTGAGAATTCCGGGCCGGCTTCTCAGCATTCGCCGTGATCCGCGTGCACGTGGCCCGTGTGGCACCAACCCTAACCCCCAATTATCTCGGGGAAGGTTGCATACGTGTACCCCTGCTGAAGCCGCCTCGTGGCTGGGTAGGTTCGGATCGGGCCGAGCTCCGTACACCTGCTGAGGAGGGTAGAGTAGGCGGATGTGCCATACAGGTACACCCGCTGAATGGATGATGTAAGCTTAACCTAATACATTGATGGCGTTCTCTGATGGCCTGCAACCGCGACGCGCGTTTGCCTGTCATCTCCCAACCACGAAGTAGTTGCTCATGACGAAGAGGTGGTATAGCATCAGTATCGATATTGCTTTGGTGTGGTGCGTAGTACTGTGGTTAGACATTTCTTAAGACAGAGGACACGCGCGGACCGCCGATCACGTGCCGCTGTGACGAACTTAATTGCGAGTGGCCCACGCTGTATGGGCGGATTCTGCTCTGACAGAATTCTGCGCAAGACTCTTCTAGACAAACTTGTCAAGAGTGTTCGTACTCAGAGTCCCGTCTGGGGTCAGAATTAATCGCCATCACGCGAATGAGTCAGGCCGTGACCTGTGGTCCGCGGGTGTCCTCTGTCTTACCTGTATATACGAGTTTCCTGGATTATGATATTTTATTTTGCACCCCCCTTCCACTCCTCGCATCGCACGCAGTCCCAGCTATGGCGAGCTCTGGCAATCCAGAGTGCCTGGACTTATGCATCACCGGAGATATGTCAGAATGGATGGGCAAGCAGAAGACAGACTCGAACATTCCTCGATTCGTCGTCAACGAGCTCTCACGTCGTGTTGATGCATCTCCCGCCGACATCGCTCTTCTTCCTTTGAATGGGCTCCCGGTTGCTCAACTGCTGAATCTATCTTTACCATAGAAATCTTCCTCCGCATGTTTCACTCGCCTGCATCATGCTTCTCCGCCGCAGGCAGAGCATACGGCTATCCAACTCGCAGTGAAATTGCTCATCCACCCTCCCCGGCAGCGGCGGCAAAAGCAGGCTTTGACGGTGGCAGTGAGCGAGTAGAGTAGTATAACATGTATTCTCGTAGCGAGCAGCGTATACGGCCGTAACGTATCCCTTCTTTCTGCCATTAGCGCGACTACAGATGGGAGAACGGGACAAAAGGCAACGCGGCAAGGGCGACCGGACCGTTCTTGCCGCGCGGATCGCAGCATCGGCCCGGGTTCCATCTTACAAATAATATTCATATGTTCAATACTGGTACACCTGCCGACCGAGCCTCGATGCAAGGTTCCATACGCTATACCTCCGGCAGCTCCGGGCCGGTACACCTGCTCCAGGCTCGAGGACACGAAATTTGAATGTAACCTTCCCCGAGATAATCAGGGGGCCTTCTCCTCTTCGGGCTCTCCGCGTGCGCCCGCGCCCTCGGGCAGATTCTACAATGCTCTCTATGCAGCATGCAGTGCTATGTTTTCCAGCAAGATCCGAAACCGAGTACGTATACTTGCTCTCACGAGGAGCCCAACAAGGCAGGTACGTTGCTACTCCCCCTTTCTTATACGCCATTGCCGCACCATGCCAGTGGTAGACTACATGGACATGTGACATTCGGTATCTCCTTACATATATACTTCTAGGCTTCACAGAAGGACAGTCAGGCTTCTTATCACTTTGTTGTAGATGTTGTTGTGCAGTGTTCCTGAACGTATAAACCCACCAACCTCGAAAGTAGGCACTTGCACTCGGGTGCCCATCTGCAGCACGTCTGATAACCTC